TAATCAGCTTTATTGTTCCTGTCATCCAACATGGCCGTCAGGGTCTTTGTCGTTTAACTCTCTCGGGAATGGTTGCAAACCAGCAATACTTGCACACAGTGCTGGAGGCCGCGGTAAATTTGAATCAAATATATGGCAACACGTGCTGCAAAATGCAAATTTGTCCTTCTCAGAGAAAAACACAATGGTTAATCAAGAAAGCATTGTTATCTGGGGTCACCCGGTGCGTGGGGATGTGGCTTGTCCAGCAATGGCAACGTAAACAACATCGTGTAAGAAGGCACGAAAGTGGCGCAATAGATGGAGCTCGTCGATTGGGCAGAAAAATACAATGCCAGAACTTTTCTGCCCAATCAGAGACCGTGTATTCAAATGTTTCTGGAAGTACGGTAGTGCGATAAGAGTCGCTTCCAAGGGGTTAATTCACAGCTACTTCGAACTTTCGCCGCTACGACTTTTGCCGATTATAAACTTTCTTCGCGCCCGACTAACTACCCCTGGGTCTCCGAGGATGTGTATAACAACACACTGTACCCATTAGTCTTCCTTCAAAAGTGTCACCAATACGTGATATGTAAGTTTAAATTTGCAACGGTAAGTTAAATTGAGAAGGAGAAGGTCACTCCAGAAAGCGCATTTTTTTCTCACTACCATTAAAAAGCAAATAGGAAGATTAATTACTGACTGTAGTTTGAACTTCCAAAGAGCATCATAAACTCGCGAAATTTGCCCTCAAAGTGTCGAAAAATTCGATTTCGGCCGCCGCCATTTTCGGCCGCCGCCATTTTGCACAATCGTGACGTCATTCCATGCATAACACGATTGGCAAATGGCCAGCCTACTTTGTGTTACAGCACTTTATAGGAGATGCGGTGGCCTATTATGGGGGTTCAAGCCCTGGCCGGGTTATTGTGTTGTCAGTTCTTGGGCAAGATATTTAGCTCTCACAGTGCCTCAGTCCACCCAGAACCTATGGACTAGGTTAAAAGTTACTAGGGACTAAAAATTTTTCCTTTTGTTTTAGACAAACCAGAGAATATCCAGTTGATAGTAAACGACTCCAACATCTGCCAGGGTGATGTCATCAGCATCACCTGCTCAGCTGATGGTAAACCTGCGGTACATACATATCAGCTGTTTGAGAATGATATACCAGTGAGTGATGGAAGCAGTTCAGGAGTATGGAACCGAACAATGTCAACTCAAGGTGTATTCACCTACAGATGTGTGGCTAACAACACTGTTGGCACAAGCGACAAGAATGTTACTGTTACTGTAAATGGTAATTTGTATATTTTTCATTCTTAATTCTAAGCCTTGTTTAAAATAATAATGCCTAACAACCATTGTGATCAAAATTAGCCTGTGAACACAGGCAGGCTGTCTATATATACTGAGGAAAAGGGTAGGGCATGATTTAAGGGCCTGATAATGGAAAAAAGTTGGCCATCTCAAAAATGGAGATTTGTGGGCTAATAATATTACTATTAGTCAGAGAGCATGGCCTACAAGTTTCAACTGAAATACTTGTAGTCCAAGACATACATGTACTTTTAGAAAATACTGTAATTATTATTGAACAACTCGGCAATTAAAAAAAAAAAATGTTACATGTATACACCTATTTTCAATTAACGGCAATGGGGTCGATTGGTTGTGTATTGCACTGTGGTTATTTTGATTCTTCACTCACTGTTACAGCTTGAAACTATTCCAGGTCTCAGACTACTAGTTAAATGACTTCAGTGTATGACTTTACCCAGTATAATAGTGTAGCCCATCTTTGCTTTTTGGGGGAGCATAGGGCATTGACCATGTACCTCCATGGTCAATGGACCTCCACCACTTTCAGTACTTTTGTGGTTATATTTCATGTAGATCTGTGTATTGTGCGACCTGGTTTTATTCAAGATTAGTTAAATTAACTATGAGTGTGGCGTTCATTGTGGTCAGTGGTCCCTCTTCTAGGTGGTCAGCAGTATCACTTGAGTAAATGCCAAGCCCGGATGTAATTAATGTGGTCTCTTCATGATCACATAGCATGCATGCATTAATCTCGTACACAGATCGCCCTCTGCCACGCGAAAGGGAGATCTGGTAAAGTTCGATTTGAAGGTCCGATATACGGGCCTTCCCATTGTTCTTAGTTGTCCTTCGCGTCTGTTGTGATCGAATAAACATGGATGAATTCCTGGAATTCGATGGAGTTATTCTGAGAATTCTTCGAGACAGAGGTTTGGAAAACTTTTTTATAAAATCCACAAAAGGAAGCTTTGCGGGAGATCGTTTTAAAGAAAAGGGACTGTTGACACTGTTTAGTTGTTCTTCCGATAGGCTACGGAAAATCTCTAGTGTTCCCGCGAATATGCGAAAATGTTTCAGTAGCGAGAGCCAAACACAGCACACATTAGAATAAGACGATATTTTAAGTAGTATCCAATATAGAATAGGCGTTATTTCGAACTTTACCAGATCTCACTTTTCAGTGTCAGACAGAGTGGGATCTGGGTACGAGATTTGCATGGTATGACATTCTTGTCCTGGCTAGCTCAATGCATTGCAATAATTTCCACCAAGTGTTTAGCAGGATTTGTTCTCCCCCGTTCCGTCACTTTATTCTCCACTCAGTGTTGGCGGGTGCCTGGAGGGATGCTCATGGATGGGTTGTGGGGATATACCAGCCATAGAAGCGGTATTCCATCTATGGACTGGCTTAATTACCACAGTGGAAGCCCCAGGATGTCCCAGGCACCAATCCTTCACTTAGTGAGGCAGTTTGTTAATTGCAAATACAGTCAGTATAAGTCATATATATTACTGTATTCCCAGGGATAGATGCTTCAATAATAATTATATTAATTAACAGTTTGTTTGTTTGTTGCCATTGTCTAATTACAGAGCCTTCATCCATACCATCAATACAAGACAAGCCAGTAACTGAAGGCAGCAATGTGACTCTGACATGTCAAGCATCTGGGATGCCTCATCCAATGGTGTCTTGGATCAAGCCTGGTGGTCAGCGTAGTAATGGAAGTGTGTTGGTGCTTACAAATATTAACAGGAGTGAAGCTGGAGAATACAGGTGTGAAGCCAGTAATCAGTGTGGCAATGCATCAGAGGCAGCGACGGTTGATGTGCAATGTAAGTTGAGTATTATTTGCAAACTACAGTATTTTTTTTTACTGTAATGTGTAATCAAAGACTGTTTTTACATAGCTATATAATGTTTCTAGTAAACTCGTGATCTCATTTGATTTCTTGGATTTTTTTTTTGTTCTTTGAAGAAATAATATCAGTTTTAATAATAAAGAAATTGTTTTAAAAGAAATAAATTAAATTAGAAGTGCCAAAAAAGAAAACAAGAGAAGCCTAATGATACAACACACAGTATTTTCAGACAGTCACAGGCTTAACTTTTGGGATCAAACAACAACTAGTACTGGTTTATGATGGACGGACATATGATCTCCTTCTTTCCCACCTTTCATGTTTTTCACATTTTAAATAATTATTCTCATAGATGCATCAGTGTAAACAAAATAAAAAAGTAATGTTTCAATACTTACAACAGTTGATTCCTAGCCAAACATGATGTTACGCATAATGTGTTTACCTACCCTTGTGCGGTGCTCTACATGAGTCCCACCACAAGGAAGAGCACAGTTGCTTTAGTGTAAAACACATATACATGTACATCTGTAAACAATGTAGAAGATATAACTACAGGTCTTGTGCACATGCTTTGGAAACAACCACCTTGTTCCAGAAAGAAAGCTACCACAAGGAGAGCATGGACATGTGTCAAACAAATACATATCTGTGACATATACCAATAAGCAGTGTAGAATTATGTTTTGTGTTATACATGCACGCAACCTCTACCCGGTCCCCCTCTCCCCGCAAGGTTTCACACCTCACCAGCATAGCTCCATAGCTTCATAGTGCCATAGCAGATGTTACCCGCTTAAAACCATCACGAACGTGTGAGTTTCTTCAAAAACTCTGCACTAAAAAGCACGTGTTTAATTTGCTCTTTTTTAGACAAACCAGAGAATGTGCAATTGGTAACATCTGCAGCTGACAACAAAGCATGCCGGGGTGACGTTATCAGCTTGAACTGCTCAGCTGGTGCTAATCCATCAGTGACGTCATTTCAGCTGTTAGAGAATGACACTGCTATCTTAGACACTTCAGGAAGTTGGAGCAGAAACTTCACAAGTGGAGGAGTGTTCATCTACAAATGTGTGGCTAATAACACTTTAGGAACAGAATACAGTCAAAGTGTTTCTGTTACCATTAATGGTAATTTTGTTTTCATTTGATTACGTTTTTAGTTATTTTAATTTACAAGTTCTTGTGAAGTGAGGTTACTGATTTTTTGTCCACCAAAGAGCACAGGTCGGATCAAGTTTCATGAAGTATTTCTGTCAATATTTATTATTTGATTGAGATGTGTACTGGCCATGGGATGGCACACAGCACGCTGATGACTTAATGGTTTAAGGTTCTAACCTTTCAATCTGATCATCGTGACCAGTGACGATAATTCAAATCTGTCCAGGATTCTTGTTTTCCTTTTTTATTTCAATTACACTGACTTCAACATAATACTGCCATCAAATTGTAGACAGAAACAGGAATGCCGACTTTTCATTCCAAGGTTAGAATGTGTTTACAGCAAAGTTTATATTAAATGTACACCTTGCACATGATCTAGACGCACAAATTGTGCACACGACCACTGCCGAAAACTTCAGTGAAAAATATCACGCACACAAATGCCCGGAGAAAGCCTGAAAAAAATCAGGCTTGAACAGAATTCGAACCCATGACCTCTGCGTTACCGGTGCACTGCGTACATTTGCATAACTGCGATGGTCTTTCACGTATTAAATATTTCACCTGCAGTTCAAATATGATATTTCATATATTATATTCATTCTCATAATTATATTAACTACGAGTTTATTACAAACTCACAATATGACCAGCTCCCAGTTGGCTTGATATCTCAGTTGGTGGAGCACTGAATTGGTATCGCAGAGGTCATGGGTTCAAGTCCTGCTTTTCAGGCTTTCTTTTCACAACTGCTTATTTAATAAATTGCATACATAAAGTGCAATCATGGTGTTTTACATATTAAATCTTTCACCCGCAGTTCAGATAATGATATTTCATATAATATTACATTCATTCTCATAATAAAAACATTATTGAATACTTCTTCAATGCATTTACTGTATCTTGAAAAATCCCATGCTGACAGTTTGATTGCTTGAAGAAGAACTTCCCCTTTGTATGATTATTGTTTTCTGGATATTTTTAGAGCGTTCAACCATTGATCCTATACACGATAAGACAGTAACTGAAGGTGGCAATGTTACTCTGACATGTCAAGCTTCTGGGATACCTCATCCAATGGTGTCTTGGATCAAGCCTGGTGGTCAGCGTAATGATGGAAGCAGTGTATTGGTGCTCACAAATATTAACAGGAGTGAAGCTGGAGAATACAGGTGTGAAGCCAGTAACCAGTGTGGCAATGCATCAGAGGCAACAGGGTTGATGTGCAATGTAAGTGTTTTTACTCTTGCCTGCATTGTGTGCAGGTGCAGTCAATTATGATGACCAAGTAGGTTAAAAACGTTTGTTTCACAACATTTTATAATAGTTTACCTTGAATTTTATATTTTTAACATTTTATGGAGAATTCAATTTGAAAACAATATATTATTTTGGGTTGTTTTTGTGTGATTGCAGTAGAGTAATGATGTGCGCCACTTTGGCCTGAAGTGCAGACCTTTATAGACTGTTGAAACATGGGAGGTGCAATGTCCTACAGTCTGTAATTGCCTGCTCTGAAGTTCAAAAGGGACTGCATTGCTCAGATTGCATCATAAATTATTAAGAAATGAATCCCATCACCAGAAAGATTTCATGAAAATGAGTATGTTTACCATGTTTGGTTATGTTTACACAAACCAGGGAATGTGCAATTGGTAACATCTGCAGCTGACAACAAAGCGTGCCAGGGTGATGTTATCAGCTTGAACTGCTCAGCTGATGCTAATCCATCAGTGACGTCATACCAGCTGTTAGAGAATGACACTGCTATCTCAGACACTTCAGGAAGATGGATCAAAAACTTCACAAATGGAGGAGTGTTCGTCTACAAATGTGTGGCTAATAACACTTTAGGAACAGAACACAGTCAAAGTTTTACTGTTACTGTTAATGGTAATTTTGTTTTCATTTGATTACTTTTTTATTTATTTTTGTTTCTTGTGAAGCGAAGTTTATGATTCTGTCCACCAAAGAGCACAGGTCGAAGTTTCATGAAGTATTTCTGTCAATATTCAGTTGTTATTTTATGATGTCACACGGCACGCCGATGGCGTAATGGCTAAGGCTCTAACCTTTCATTCTGATCATCGTGACCAGCTATGATGATTCAAATCTGTCCAGGGTTCTTTTGCTTGCCCCTTTGACTCGGTGATATATCATTGAGTCAACA